GTTGCCAAAATCATTACACCATTTTCATTGCTATTATTCTCTGCATTGAATCTCATTCTCCCTCTCTCTCTCGTTCTGATATTATTTCCGAAGTAAATACATTTCGTTGAGTTCGCTAGAACTCTTGCAAATTGATGTGCTGCTTCCGTAGGAGACGAAATTCGTTCTATCTTGGAAAACGATTGTTGGACTCCTTAAAGCACCTTTTGAAGGCAGCAAATTCGTTTTAAGGAAATATCGTGAAGTCGGTGGGCTCGAATTCATTTTTGATTCTATTGATCATACCGTTATGCTGTGCAGATTTATTAAGGTAGTTTTGTCAGATTGTCTCAAAGGAGATACTCCAGAAATAACATTATAAAGAACTCGGCATAAACTAATTTAATCAGTGTGAATGCCATATAATTATGGAAAGAGCCTTTTTTACGAACCATTGCAATGAAAATGGCCCATAAAGTGAAGTTTTAATGGTAACAAATGGTTGCTCCTACTGACGAGAGGTTACAGATGCATCACTGAGAACGATGACTTGTCAAGGAAATTAAAAGCATTTGCAGAAGTATGATGTGTCAAGTTATCTGATTCAGATTATTCAATCGAGTAGAGAGGTTAAACCTCCCCTCCTCTCCCCACTATTCTACCAACTTTTGACATTAGTTCATTTGATGTTTACTATCAGGCTCCTGACATCATTTATCTCAATAGGGTCTATAGTTTTGTTCTTCATTTTATCAATCTTCCAGTTAATTTTCAGGCAATTTATTCTCAATTATTCTCCCTCCCTTCCCTGCATGGATTTCTATGTTTTTGAGTAATCACATCCTTCACTGTTAACATCCTCATTGGCTAAATCTTGCCTTGCAAAATCCATCTTTTTATGGGCAATAAATTTCTTGTTTTGTTTTATTAATTCCAGATGAACCTGGTAAGCAAGTCCAAAGTGCTATTAAGATTAAAAATGCAAGCAAGTCTCATGTAGCTTTCAAGGTATGATAAATTACTTGTGATGTACTTATTTATTTACTCCCCCCATCCCCTTTTTAATGCTGCTGATGGACTGTAGAAATTTATGATTGACAATCTGGTCTCACATAGTCTCAATTTAGTTTAGGCTCTGTAATATAATATTCTTTCTCGTTGCTTCTTATATCTGATTAGTCTAGTTTATTGATGTTGCTTCAGTTCCAAACAACAGCACCAAAAAGCTGTTTTATGAGACCTCCTGGGGCAGTTCTCGCTCCTGGCGAGAGTATTATAGCAACTGGTAATATTTATATGTGGATTTCTTCACTTCCCTTCCTTTCACAATAATTTAAGGCACTTAAGGATGTGTTTGTGTATTTCTTATTTCTTGCTCTGGTCCTGGTTTTGGGTGAATCTACTAGTATTCAAGTTTGTAGAGCCTCCAGAGAACAATGAAAAGCCAACATATCAGAAGAGCAAGGTGAAGTTTAAAATCATGAGCCTAAAGGTGAATGGACCGATGGACTACATAGCAGAACTGGTTTGTTGCTTTCTTCTCTTGATGGCTTTATTTCTGTGTACCTGTCTTGAAAATAATTGTGTCGGTGGCTATCTACTTGTACTCTTTTAGTTTGTGATTCAATTGCAATAATTATGTTTATTGATATTGTGAACCGCTCTTATTATTGAAAATAATTTGCTTGTTGCACAGATCGCATTATCAAGGTTCTGGGAAATGTGATTTGTCTAAGAAAGTCTCTTTGAACTAACTTTCTCCTGATTGATTCTAATCATTTCATGTTGTCTTGAACAGTTTGATGAGCAGAAGGATCAAGTGGCCGTGGAACAGATACTTCGGGCAGTATTTCTAGATGTGGAACGTCCTAGCCCTGTAAGTAACGATTTTTGACAGTGGTTCCTACAACATATACTGCATTCGCTGAACTGCTTCTAAGCATCATCTTTTGCATGCATTTTTACATTGAAAATGTTGGTTTGTGAGATTATCTACCTGCTGAATCTTTGAAGGCTCTAGAAAAACTGAAGCAGCAGTTGGCTGAGGCTGAGGCTGAATTGGAGGCTCGCAAGAAACCTCTAGAAGATGCAGGTCCAACATTTATTGGTGAAGGACTTGTCATCGATGAATGGGTATGATATCTTTTGATACTTTAGAAATTTTTTCTTGTAAAACTTTCATTCCCTTCTCTGTTTAGTATTTATTCCTGTCTTTCTTTTCCAATTTCTGTTTTTCAGAAAGAAAGAAGAGAAAGATATCTAGCACGTCAACAAGTAGAAGGGGCAGACTCTGTATGACTGGAGGTTTGTTGTTCTCCGAAGTCTTTTACTTCAGTCTTCTGCTGGAAATTTCTGTTCTGGGCTTTAAATGAGTGTATTTATTTGTTACATCAATGAACATTCTGTTACAAGTGTTGGCCTGTTGCCACATTTATGTTATATATTGCGATTTCGCTTCTTTAAGTGTGGAAAGAAAATATATATTTTAGGTTTCTTAAAATTATGGTTTGCATTTCTTCATCTGTTATATAATTTGAACTAGTGCGCACAATATATTTTGGTTTTTGTTGCGATTGTGCATTGATAATTCCAAGTTAGAGTTTTTACCGACTCTGGGGCTAGGGGCGGAGCCAGGAAATTGGTTCAGTGCGGGCACAATTTAATCGATGCCGAACTTTGAGTTTTTTGTCATTGATTTAGTGATATTCCTTGCGAATTTTTATATTTTGATATCGTTGTAAAATAATTTCATTATCAATCTTCAAAAATATATATTTCTCTACATAGACACTTGTGCTATCATTCATCAATTGATCTAACATCTGATTACACAATCTATCATTTACAATCAAAAGCTCGTAAACCAATTGGTATACCTTACTTTTCTTTGTTATAACTAACTTCTCTGCAAGATGATTAAGGTCATTCAACTCTTCACAACATTCAATTAAGTTCACAACCTATCTACAGACTACAATTCAACCTTAGCACTATTCAGTTTAATCTTGAGTTAGGCTGCTGGTAATCGGGGGTCAATCTTGCAATATAAATAAATAAAATGGCTACTTACAAAAGTACCCCTAAAGTTAAGAGCCTTTTGAAAAATTATATGAAAATTATTTCGGAAGTAAAAAATAATGTGTCACTTTTTTATTAAAAAGAGATACAATGTCGCTTTTTAAAGTTAAGTATTAATTTTTTATTAAAAAATGACATCCAATTTCGCTTTATTAAAAAGTGATGTTTGTTACTACAAGAAGTGACAAAAATTTTAAGAAAGTGATAGGAAAAAGTGACAAACAATATAAAAATGCACAAAAATTTCAAAAAGTGATAAACATTCAAAGAGTGGCAAAATACTAATCAAAACCTTAGAATCAGTTTAATAAAGTGACAGAAATTTAAAAAATGACGACTAAAAAAAGTGACAAAACACCAATCAAAACTTTGGAATCAATTCAATAAAGTGACATAAATTTTAAAAAAAATGATAAAAACTCAAAAAAGTGACGAAACATCGATCACTTTTTGGGTGAATTGTATCACTTTTTAATAAAAAGTTAAATGTAATGTCACTTTTAATATCACTTTTTAATAAAAAAGAATGACATATAATATCATTTTCATTAAAAGGTGAAGTGAAATACAGTGTCACTTTTATTACAAAGTGATATTTGTCACTAAAAAGTGACAGAAATTTAAAAAAAAGTAACAAACAATAAAAAAAGGTAATAGAAAAGAGTGACAAATACTAAAAAAGTGACATGAATTCAAAAAAAGTACAAACGTTCAGAAAAGTGACAAAGTTTTAAAAACGACAAACATTAAAAAAAGTGACAAAATACCATCGAAAACAAAACATTCATAGCAAGTTTGGCTGAAGTCATTTCAAAGAAACAAAAAAAAAGTAGAACTCTCAAGACCAATAGACTAGTAATAACATAAAAACTTGGGGATAAGTCCTTAGACCGCCGCTGCTGCCAGATGTTTCCACCAAAACCTTCGATTGTCAGTCTCTTGGACTTCCTCACTAGTGTTTTTGCTGCCCGAACATCTACTCCTCATGTGCCATATTGCTTGGCACAGAACAACAACTCAGGCGCTTTATACTATCTAGCAAAGACCTAAATAATGAAAAGAGATGCACACGGATTAGAGTTATTGCGTTATAACATTCTTTGCAATGTTTTAAAGAATCAATGGCATATCAGCAAGAATCGTTTGCCAATAAGTTATCAAAAAGTATCATAGTTCTACAATAGTTTATAGTTCCACAGAGAAAGGCACAATGCAGAGTATACTATGAATATGTTCTTTCCTAAAGAAGATGGAGTGCTCATGTTAAGAGTTGCACACATAAAAATACATTTATATGGGTGACCGAACTATTAAATTGTATTTGCAAGTAATTCAAAAAAGTGACAAGTTCAAAAAAGTTACCAAAAATTAGAAAAGTAACAAAAAACTAATAAAATAAAAGTCACAAACTAAAAAAAATAGACATCATATTATAATTTGAAGTTGTATAATGTGTATTATAGTCTTACGAACTATATAACACCGACAAACCAATAATTGAAATTCCATAGGCACTACAAAAGTTGATTCAGGAAAGAAAATTCATGGAACACAGTAGGAATTATGGGAACGAGGAAGAATGATATATGGGGAGTGCATTCAGACAAAAGACCAACAAAAGTAACGAGATTTATGTAGTGAAAAGAAATTAAATAGTATATAGCCACAACCTGTGTATGTTAAACTGTATGATTAACATTTCAGAACTATACCACCAGGAATAAGTAAAAGAAACTATGCCCATGTAATATGATCTCTATCAATGCTGTCATATTCAACATTTATCAACTTCAATATTCGTCTTCCAAATATCAACAAGTAACTTAATTCGGCTTGGTTAGAAATGTCAATGTGTTAATAAAATAGAAAGAAAATAGAAATCGGATGACAAGGAGTAAATCATATGTTCATCTCGAAGTAGTAGGTCAAACATTGCATAGTTCTATAGGGCTTTGAAATTGTTAATAAAAAAAACTAAGAAATTTAACTACTACAAATTTTGGAGACAACAATGGTGAGATTTCACAGGTTAAACCATTAAAAAATGAGAAACTAACATAAAATTCATTAAAATGAAAATTGCAAGACTTACATGTAGCATGAAACAACTGCTAAAATCATAATTATGATCCCCCAATTGCCATTAAAATCATCCTCAAAATCATCTATCAATTTTCTTGCAACAAAGATACAGAAAACGAAGACGAGCAACTATCAAACCTATTGTTAGAAAGATTTCAATTCGTGGAGGCAGTTGCCCAGAAAGCCTGGTTGATCCATGCTAGCTTGGTAATCTCCGAAGGATCCAAGTAGGAGAGAACCGAGAGGAGCGACAATGGGGAGTTTGAGGAAGAGGAAGGCAATGAGAAATGTGGAATTGGGACAGTGAAAGGAGAGATTGAAAGAGGAGAGTTTTGAATATCTTTCTTTATTACACTGTAAGTAATATGCATGTAGAAAAAGTTAAAATGTTAAGTGCATTAATCAATTTTAAAGTATCTAGGTCGTTCTGGCCTAATTTGCCCATAAATAAATGTATTGGGCTGAGCCCAAAAGTCCAGTGCAGACAATTAGGCTCCGCCCTTGCCTGGGGCTCATGGGGCACTATCCTAGGGATGGAAGAATTTATCGACGGGCCTTCCATTTCTGTTTTGGAAAAAGGCTACAAGAAGACCCACTCCTCGAAGTCCGTCCATGAGGGATGAGCTTGATGGGTCGGAAGGAGTTGGAAGAGGTAGTGCTCCCACCATACTCAAAATAAAACAATGAAAAAGATAGTAATTACATAAGCCGAAATGTAATAAAGTCTGAGAAAATGGTAAAAGAAAGAGATGAAAAATAGAATAAATAGATACATAATAAAGTCAAGAAGAAAGTTGTACTTTTTCAAACAAAATAAGGACGGAAGAAAATATTAAGCCTAAAAGAAATATTACAAAAAACATGATATTCTGATAAGTGTTCATCAAAGAGATTCATTATGTTTCTAGAAAATGTCCGAAAAACTTGCTACGGAACTATCGAGTTGGGGCCGTAATAGTAAACTCTTTCACAGGAGAAATAGACGAAACAAGTTCTGTCTCAATTATATCTCTATCTTTCGACATTTCATCTCTGTAATATGATAATAGTGGGCGGAGAATCCTTGTTTATTCTAGTGGTATAGATTTTTGTTTATTACTAGGAAGGCAACCTACTTTGGTCAGTGATCATGGAAAGTCAAAACATGCATATAATAAATTCATATTAGATCGATCAAGACTATTTCATAGTGATACTACCCAAAATCGTACCTATCGAATTTCAAACTTGACGACTGAAAATGAGCATGAACTTAGTCTTTTTGGTACCTGAAACAAAGGCGTCGAGGTGTGTCATCGTCGCCCCTCCGATGTTTAAGTCAGAGAGAGAATATGAAAGAATTTTAATTCTGAAATTATATGAAAAACGTACCTTGATAATAAATTGGAATGATGTATTTATTGAAGTATGTAGTGCATTCCTAGTAGATTACAATGTTAAAATCCCTAGGAGTCTTAACATGATTGGAAGTTGCAACTCAATTGGTTTTGTATTACTCACGTGTTTGGATAGAGATGAGATTCTAGTGTTAGAATCCTCTCATAATGAGGTAACATATTAGCAGCAGGACATTGCTTCATAAGTCTTGACATGAAGTATACTTCTAACAAATAGGGGATGATTTGAAGCTCCGACTGTAAACTCGAGAAAGAGCTGTTGGACCATAGGTGCCCGAGCTCGAGGAGATATGACCCCGAGGAGATCATGAGAATCGTGCTTAGATGGGACCTAAACTCCTCAGGTCGAGTGCTCGGGCTGGCTCTACCAAAATTGGTATCATCACATAGTAAAGTGGAAGTCAACAACAAATCGGCAGGCTCATAAGAAGAAGTGGTTTCATCCGACCGACGAGATAGTCGATTTCTAGTCAACTAACTAAAAATTCAATAGAGAAAATTGCTTTTCTAATTCTTTTTTGATATAATGATTTCTTATGAGCCACAAAACAGATAATTCAAGTAGTAAATACAAATCGCTCAGTGGAGAATCTCTGGCCAATAAGCTATGACTACGAAACGAATTCGATTTGGTTTAGCGCTTGAAAGCTATCGAAGAAGAGTCAATTCAATGCTCAAGTAAAGTCAAAGGGAGAGTTCACTTATTCAATAGAAGATAACAGTGTACATGTCGACCCTACTTCACTTCCTTCTTTGTAGTCTTTTTTTTTTTCAGTATATACTCGTATTTTAAATTGAGGGTGTGTTTGAGCCACATTATTTTGGAATATTAGATTGATGGAGAATGTGCGGTTGGAAAAGAAGGAAAATTTATTGATATAATGGAAAATATTATTTTATTTAAGAATGTGTGATTGAAAATTAGTAGAAAAATAAAAATGAAAATTTTAATGTAGCTCAAACAGGGGCTGAATATCTTCATTTGTTGAACACTTGAACTATACAAAATTATGTTATTTTCCTGAAACATGCTTGTAGCTAACCTCCTGTAATACCACTTGACTCAATCGAACTGATAGGAAAAAGAAATCTCTCTCTCTCTCTCTCTCTCTCTCCCCCTCCCCTACCTCTTCCTCTTTCCCATTTCTTTTTCTTCTTTCTCCCTCTTTTCACTACACTCCCACTGCCACCACCATGTTTTTAGTTTTCAGCTTCATGGCCTCAACTACATTCCATTAAAATTGTGATGTTTTTTCAATCAAAACCAAATGCTTACTAAAAAAAAGTATCCATCCCATTTACAGACGAAAACTCCAAATTGAAATAGGGTCGAAGATTTTCAAATACACATGGCCACATAAGAATGACGCCATAAAACAATATGCAATTATTAAACTCGCTTACTCACTCGAGAAAAAGAAAATATGATGGAGCTGCACGCAGAAAATCCAACTTAAGTTTGGATTTTAGATCAATCCTTAAGTTGGTAAACAAAGCTTGTGAAATTTCTGTGCTTAAAGTTTTGGGGGAGAAGCTCTGCAGAGAACTGGATATGGTCCCAACCAATGAGGCTAGTACCAGAAGAACTCACATGAAATAATGGAGTTTGTGTTTGGATCATTCACCATACTAAACATTATTTTCAAGAATGGAGGTGGTACTCCAAACTCGATCAGTCCTTTTCCAGTTTTCAGTCTCCGTGGGTTCGAGGTCGGAGATGATAAAGAGGGCCAAACTCCACCACCAATATCCATCATTGCAACTTTTTCCTCAAAGCTCTCAAGCTTGACAAAGAATAGAACACCTTATTTGTGTATATATATATGATTAACAAACGTAATGAATGCATGGTATTAACCCAACCAATAGTACATATTTGGCAAAATCAAGACCCTTTAGTATCTTCTTCTTGATCATCTTAAAAAATTAGTCTCAAATTTATAGTTTGGAATTTTATCTATAGCACAATATTTGTATCATGCCTTTTGATGTATAATTGGATCTAAAGGCCCAAAAAGTTTTGTACATTTAGGCCAATTAGTCCATGGGTCACATCTGATATTCGTGGGCTTATGTTTATATATGTCTACAATGGTTCAATTAAATACTCAAATATACAATTTTTAATTTTAATTTCAATACCAAGATTTGTGAGCTCTTATTTTTTGAGGAGATTATAATTTCTTACACATACACTAAAACCCATTACTTCTCTTCATTATAATTTTATTATAATCTCCCTAGCAAGCTCAGATTTGTGAATCAAACTTGTGTTTAACGGTAATGGACGAGTGATATTTAATTTAAGTTCGACTTTCTAACCTCCCATATAATCTATTAATGAAATTATATATTTATTTTTCATCATTGAGTCGAATTGGATGATAATTATATCATCAATTATTCTACTTGCTGAATAATGAAGAAATCTAAAGTAACTTTTGCATGTCAAATCCCTTTCATTCAAACTTTCATAAACCTTTTAGGTGCAATGTAACAAGTATCACATCCAAATGTCTCACGAGTCCACAAGTGATGTCCAATATGCTTCCTTCACAAAAAAGTTGTTCATACCCGCACACCCGCGCTTGCAAGGCTAGCCGGGAGGGAGGTGCTTTTTTCGGAATCCGGTAGTCGATTCCATATTCATCGATCCAGAACAAGAGGTCATAATGCCAGTGATTCTCTTAGCCGGTATGGATTTCCAACGCCTCGAGAAACTGGTCGAGATAGATGACAGAGTCCCTGATAATTAAATAAACCAAGATTTTATCGAATTAACCATGGCATCTCAGTACTTTTCCATGAGTTAATGGCTATTAAGAAAGGATTATTCATTAATTTCACATAACTAAATAAATTTGAGCATATTTGATATACAATACTGAATATAATTAATACCGTCAAGTAGTGTCCCGTCACATTAGAAGGGTCACGAAAGAGAAAAATATATCTCGAAAGCGAGGACAAATCAGTCATTACAAACCTTCATCATTAGTAATCTTTGGATTAAGAGAGTAAATGCACTTTGTTATTGATTTAATACAACGGTAAACCATCTATCTACCGAAACCCATAACCCCAAAAACGTTTCCCCTTTTAGTTAATCACAAAGGTTAACTGTATCTCAACTCCATCGGAAAAAACGCCGGAAAAGCCCACGTCATCTCGACGGGAAAAGATCAATCTCAATCAAATTCTCTTCATCGACTTCACTATTATTCTTCTTCCCGTTCAGTTCAATCTCTATCAACCCTTCTTTATCATCCTCTTCCCACCGGAAGCACAAATTCTCAGATGACTCCCAGTCTTCGATCGTCGGGGAATCTCCTTCCGATGAAGTGTCTGTGTCTGTTTCCGGGTAATACAGTGACAAAGATGCGTATTTTTCAATTATAGCCATCTGTGCCTCTCTCTTTTCCTCCCAAAACCCCTGGTTTCCTTCTTCTTCACCCTCGTATTCTTCATGTATAACCTCCAATGGTGCCCTCACGTCCCATTCCACAAAACAGTCAGCCAAAAAACTTGGACCCAGATTCAAATTCTGATTCGGGTCGCTATGGGATTCACACGAAACCCGGTTGAGATCATGACTAGAAAATTCTTCATTCTGTGGCAATAGTATCTGGGTGGAATCGAATTCCAGGGAATGGGATCCATTTTCCTTCTGGGTTTTTTGACTTGCTCCGAGACGGAGAAGATAGAGTAAGATAATTGAGGTGGAAATTAGGACGGGGGAGAAAATGAGTCCGTGAAAAAAAGCTGGGAAGTACAGTAGAATGACAGTGTAGAAAGTGAAGATGGTGGAGAATAGAGTGTTTGAGCAAAGAAAGGTGAGTGTTTCTTGAAGAAAGGTAAAGAAATTGGATTCTCTTTGTTTATGCTTTTCCTCCATTGATGAATTTCTGAAGGTGAAAAGGAACTCAATGGTGTGAGATATATACGAGCAAAAAATTCATCGAAGTCAGAGTTGGGATTCCATTATCCCATGCATTAACACAACGCCACCGTGCGTGTATGTGTGTGATAGAGAGAATTTTCAAGAAGAGACAGCTTTAATAGGTTTTAGGAAGGGCTTTGTGGGGATGGCGGAGCGAAGGCATCAAGAAAAGTAAGAAGCATGTTCTCTGTGATGTTTTCAATCCATTTTCAATTTTCGAAAACGTTGAAAACGCGTTTATTTACCTATTTTCATAAACGAATTTTCAAAAACGAGTTTCAAATTTACAAATAAAATGAAAAAAGTTATTTTGACTGTTTTCATTGAAAACCAAACCAAATCTTCATTTTTTTATTTTTGAAAACAATTTTTCAAAATGACAAAAAGATCGCGTTTTCAATAATCTCAAAATTGACACTCAAAGAGCAAAATGAATTCAAAATTCAAAACTAAAAACTGAAACACGAAGAAAACAACTCAGTCTCCCTTTGGTAAAATTTATAAATTCATAAATACTATTAATTTAATTTATTCATCACTTATTTTATTTATTTATTTATTTGATGGTTTACAAATTCTTCCTAATAAAGATCAGCTTATTCTCTTTACTTTTCAGCATGATAATAGATTATTCTAGTATTTTAATTTAAAGTAATACTGATAGTCGAGAAAGTTAATTGTCTTTTGTAACGCAAGCTTTATAATCTAATATCTAGAATTGATTATTATAATTTGCCTTCCATCTTTTAATTTGATCATTGAACTTCAATTGTCATTTTAATTAAAGAGATGAATAAAACGAACAACACGACTCAGATATAATGTATGACGTGTGTCGTTTATTAACTTGTTGGGTTAGATACCCGCATGTACAAAATTTACAGATGAAGTTTCATCATTCATCGCTAAGCACATAATTTTTTGTTTAATTTTGTGTCCATACATGTCCTCTATGTCGAATGTTCAATCATATGTATGTATAAATGTGCATTTGTGTGGATAAAGAGGAAGGGATAAAGATATGTAAAATGTAGATAGCTTTTTTAACATGGCTGGGATGGATGGTTCAGAGAATCATATAACTTGAGACTGTCAAGTTAGTGGAGGAAGTATGCATCGAATTCGAATGAAACACTGTATATCTATAAGCAATGAAGCAACAATTTTGGTCGAAGTGCAAAACTCTCTCTAGTTTTGTCCAAAGATCAGTATCTCATTGGTAATGTTACCAGTAAAATTCTTTCGTTTTCGATCCTTAGGTGAATGTATCTTGTTGGGAAAAAGATCCAAGATTTGCATTTCAAGCAACGTTTTTCGATATCGTATTTTGCTTACAAAATAAAAAAATTCAAATCTTTATATTGATTTTGATATCAACATCTTCAGTTCTTATTTTGAATATTGTATGTTTTTATTAGATTTTGATACAAATCACAACGTAAAAACCCTATAGTTCGCATGAAGTCAATGGACATAGTGTCAATTGAGACACTAAAAGAATTTTTTTTGTTAAACCAGCAAAGTTTATTGTAACTGAAAAAGAATAAAGTCGAATATGAGTGTGCAATCACGTACTTCTCTTCAAAACATCATTTAACGAAGTCTTTTAACGAAGTCAATACATGCAACTACCACAATCATCATCCACGAGATGTTAAACACCATGTCGTTAAATTTTCAAACATTCACAAAACAGGTGACCTAAATTGATAATGTTAATTCAATTTCCACCTTACACGTCCTAAATTCCTAATTCACAAGTCCCACCATACCAATAAAGATGCCAATCATGCAAGTCTTTCAATTTTCCCTTTGTGGGGAAAAATTATGTTCGAAGAAAACCTACCCTATGCTTTCTACATATTTGTTCTCGTGGGCCGTGCTCAACATGATCCGGTTACATGAACAGACTAACTTAAGGTATAAATGATATAAGATCTTGAGAGACTCAACACGTTTTAACCCTTTTCGTCGTACGCACGTGACGTTAAAGGTGTCAATCATGCAAGTTTGGAATATCTTTTTTCCTCAATCCTTTATGGAGAAATATTAAGATCAAAGCAAGAGGACATGTCGTGTCCCGCTTTCTTGCTTTAAAGATGGAGGGGATGGGAATGGCAGTTGTTAATCGTGGCAGACAACGAATCTCAGCCGTCAATTCAATTAAAACTCTTCAAAGACACCGTGCACTTGGAAAGTAAAAAATTAGGATAACTCCAAAGAAGGTTTCGATAGTTAATTAATGACCGTTGATGTAAGCTTTAGAGAGCAGATCACGTGGCTTGGGTCCAGTTCCAATTACAAGGGATTTTCAAAAAAAGTGTTCAATTTTATTTAGCCCAATTTAGTGAGAATTAAAATTAGATTTTCAGTAAATTTTGATAAAAATTGATGTAATATATAGTTAAAATGTTTCGTATCTCATAAAATATGTGATTAAAATTAATTATTTACTTTGGCATAAAATTAATATTGTTAAGGGGAGAATTTTTATCGCACTTCTACATTTATTGCAACATCAGATTTTATTCCATATAATCACTATTTAAAGACTCATTATAACGTCCTTGTTTCTTGTCATTGAAAAAATTAGAAAATCTTTAAGGGAAATGCTAGGGGTACATTGGGGATCACATAAGGGTTGACATAAGGAACACAACATGGGACTCATCCCATGTGAGTATTATGTCAACCCTTATAGATAAAAATTATGTACAAATAGAATTTTTGAATTTTTAAATCCTTTTGATTTTGGAAAAGTCTTCATGTACATAATAGTGTCCATAATGTGATGTGGACAAAATCATGTTGTTTATGTGAACGTGTGAGATTTGAATTAATGGTTGGATCCAATGCCACGTGTAATTATGAACATTATTATGTATAAATTTATGTACATATAATACTTCTCTTTGATTTTAATTGGTTTTCATAATTGTCAATGATTATGTCGATCAAATTATTATTCAGTATCCCATTATGAAATAACAAATTCTTGATTTTTTAAATTTATAGATATTTTCCAAATCAACATGTTTTAAACTTATTCTTTGTTCACATTAATCAGTTTTTTCATTGTTACTAAATAATTTGAGTTTTGAAACTTTTATTGTCGTTACATTTTCATTATCAACTAAATGTTTGCCAAAAGTTGAGATTTGTTGTCCAAAGTTTTTGTTCAATTTTCTGTTCACCGTAGGGGTGAACGCGATTCGGTTTAAGCGGTTTGTGCCATATTTTTAACTCAAACTTTTTCATGCGGTTTGAAATTTTTTCAAACCAAACCAAACTATTATATTTTTCGAACCAAATCAAACCATAATTTGGGGGTTGGTTCGATTTTAATCCACGGTTTACCTATCGACATTATAATAATATATTTAAAATAAATTAACATATAAATTTAAACTAGAACTAATAATGTTAAATTACATTCATTTTTCCCACGAAATCCATGAATAAATTATTTTCAAAGTCGGTTCTTAAAGGATGTTAATAGAACGAATATATTTTTCTTCCTTTTTATTTACTTTTTCTTATTTGTCTTCTTTCATATTGTCATATAACGGTCGGTACAGATAGAGTCACAATTTGCTGTAATAGTTTGGTTAAAACTCCTTTCGTCCTACCAGTGAGATGAAAAATAAGGAGTGAACATGATATGTTTAAATATATAAAGAATGAT